ACACAGAGACTCACGCAGAGACTCACTAAGACTCACAGAGACCCAGACTCACTCATACTCACAGAGACTCACTCAGAGACTCAATCAGACTCACAGAGACTCACACAGAGACTCACTAAGACTCACACAGAGACTCACACAGAGACTCACTAAGACTCACACAGAGACTCACACAGAGACTCACACAGAGACTCACAGGGACTCACGCAGAGACTCACACAGAGACTCACTCAGAGACTCACACAGAGACTCACTCAGAGACTCACAGAGAGACTCACACAGAGACTCACACAGAGACTCACAGCACGTGGAGCTGTTTGACCTGGCACGCTTCCCTCGCCACCAGTCCTCCGGGGGAGGCTTCGGGTCTGTGAGACTCACTCAGACTCACACAGAGACTCACTCAGAGACTCACTCAGAGACTCACTCAGAGACTCATACAGAGACTCACTCAGAGACTCACACAGAGACTCACTCAGACTCACACAGAGACTCACGCAGAGACTCACTCAGAGACTCACAGCACGTGGAGCTGTTTGACCTGGCACGCTTCCCTCGCCACCAGTCCTCCGGGGGAGGCTTCGGGCCTGTGAGACTCACTCAGACTCACTCAGACTCACACAGAGACTCACTCAGAGACTCACACAGAGACTCACTCAGAGACTCACACAGAGACTCACACAGAGACTCACTCAGAGACTCACACAGAGACTCACACAGAGACTCACACAGAGACTCACTCAGAGACTCACTAAGACTCACACAGAGACTCACACAGAGACTCACACAGAGACTCACTCAGAGACTCACACAGAGACTCACAGAGAGACTCACTTGGACTCACAGCACGTGGAGCTGTTTGACCTGGCACGCTTCCCTCGCCACCAGTCCTCGGGGGGAGGCTTCGGGCCTGTGAGACTCACAGAGACTCACTCAGAGACTCAGACAGAGACTCACAGAGACTCACAGAGAGACTCACTCAGAGACTCACACAGAGACTCACTCAGACTCACACAGAGACTCACGCAGAGACTCACTCAGAGACTCACGCAGAGACTCACACAGAACTCACACAGAGACTCACACAGAGACTCGCTCAGAGACTCACACAGAGACTCACACAGAGACTCACACAGGAACTCACACAGACTCACTCAGAGACTCACACAGAGACTCACACAGAGACACACTAAGACTCACTAAGACTCACACAGAGACTCACACAGACTCACACAGAGACTCACACAGAGACTCACTCAGACTCACACAGAGACTCACACAGAGACTCACTAAGACTCACAGAGACTCAGACTCACTCAGACTCAAAGAGACTCACTCAGAGACTCACTCAGACTCACTCAGAGACTCACACAGAGACTCACTCAGAGACTCACACAGAGACTCACTCAGAGACTCACACAGAGACTCACTCAGAGACTCACACAGAGACTCACACAGTGACTCACACAGAGACTCACAGAGAGACTCACTCAGAGACTCACTCAGACTCACTCAGAGACTCACACAGAGACTCACTCAGAGACTCACTCAGACTCACTCAGAGACTCACACAGAGACTCACTCAGAGACTCACACAGAGGCTCACTCAGAGACTCACACAGAGACTCACTCAGAGACTCACACAGAGACTCACACAGTGACTCACACAGAGACTCACAGAGAGACTCACTCAGAGACTCACTCAGACTCACACAGAGACTCACGCAGAGACTCACTAAGACTCACAGAGACCCAGACTCACTCATACTCACAGAGACTCACTCAGAGACTCAATCAGACTCACAGAGACTCACTAAGACTCACACAGAGACTCACACAGAGACTCACTAAGACTCACACAGAGACTCACACAGAGACTCACTAAGACTCACACAGAGACTCACACAGAGACTCACTAAGACTCACACAGAGACTCACACAGAGACTCACACAGAGACTCACAGGGACTCACGCAGAGACTCACACAGAGACTCACTCAGAGACTCACACAGAGACTCACTCAGAGACTCACAGAGAGGCTCACACAGAGACTCACACAGAGACTCACAGCACGTGGAGCTGTTTGACCTGGCACGCTTCCCTCGCCACCAGTCCTCCGGGGGAGGCTTCGGGTCTGTGAGACTCACTCAGACTCACACAGAGACTCACTCAGAGACTCACTCAGAGACTCACTCAGAGACTCATACAGAGACTCACTCAGAGACTCACACAGAGACTCACTCAGACTCACACAGAGACTCACGCAGAGACTCACTCAGAGACTCACAGCACGTGGAGCTGTTTGACCTGGCACGCTTCCCTCGCCACCAGTCCTCCGGGGGAGGCTTCGGGCCTGTGAGACTCACTCAGACTCACTCAGACTCACTCAGACTCACACAGAGACTCACTCAGAGACTCACACAGAGACTCACTCAGAGACTCACACAGAGACTCACACAGAGACTCACACAGAGACTCACTCAGAGACTCACAGAGAGACTCACACAGAGACTCACACAGAGACTCACTCAGAGACTCACTAAGACTCACACAGAGACTCACACAGAGACTCACACAGAGACTCACTCAGAGACTCACACAGAGACTCACACAGAGACTCACACAGAGACTCACACCACGTGGAGCTGTTTGACCTGGCACGCTTCCCTCGCCACCAGTCCTCCGGGGGAGGCTTCGGGCCTGTGAGAGACTCACTCAGACTCACACAGAGACTCACAGAGACTCCCTCAGAGACTCACTCAGACTCACTCAGAGACTCACTCAGAGACTCACTCAGAGACTCACACAGAGACTCACACAGAGCCTCACACAGAGACTCACTCAGAGACTCACTCAGAGACTCACGCATAGACTCACTCAGAGACACTCACAGAGACTCACTCAGAGACTCACTCAGACTCACTCAGAGACTCACACAGAGACTCACGCAGAGGCTCACTCATACTCACGCAGAGACTCACACAGAGACTCACACAGAGACTCACAGGGACTCACACAGAGACTCACAGAGACTCACAGGGACTCACACAGAGACTCACACTGAGACTCACTCAGACTCACACAGAGACTCGCTAAGATTCACACAGAGACTCACACAGAGACTCACACAGAGACTCACTAAGACTCACATAGAGACTCACGCAGAGACTCACTCAGAGACTCGCAGAGACTCACGCAGAGACTCACGCAGAGACTCACGCAGAGACTCACACAGAGACTCACACAGAGACTCACACAGAGACTCACTCAGAGACTCACACAGAGACTCACACAGTCTCACACAGAGACTCACGCAGAGACTCACGCAGAGACTCACTCAGACTCACAGAGACTCACGCAGAGACTCACACAGAGACTCACGCAGAGACTCACGCAGAGACTCGCAGAGAGACGCACGCAGAGACTCACACAGAGACTCACACAGAGACTCACACAGAGACTCACTCAGAGACTCACTCAGAGAGTCACACAGAGACTCACACAGTCTCACACAGAGACTCACGCAGAGACTCACACAGAGACTCACAGAGAGACTCACTCAGAGACTCACTCAGAGACTCACTCAGAGACTCACACAGAGACTCACACCACGTGGAGCTGTTTGACCTGGCACGCTTCCCTCGCCACCAGTCCTCCGGGGGAGGCTTCGGGCACGTGAGACTCACTCAGAGACTCACACAGAGACTCACACAGAGACTCACACAGAGACTCACTCAGACTCATGCAGAGACTCACGCAGAGACTCACTCAGAGACTCACTAAGACTCACACAGAGACTCACGCAGAGACTCGCAGAGAGACACACGCAGAGACTCACACAGAGACTCACGCAGAGACTCACACAGAGACTCACACAGAGACTCACACAGAGACTCACACAGAGACTCACGCAGAGACTCACACAGAGACTCACACAGAGACTCACACAGAGACTCACTCAGAGACTCACACAGAGACTCACACAGAGACTCACTCAGACTCTTGCAGAGACTCACGCAGAGACTCACTCAGAGACTCACTAAGACTCACTCAGAGACTCACACAGAGACTCACAGAGAGGCTCACGCAGACACTCACTCAGACTCACACAGAGACTCACTAAGACTCACGCAGAGACTCACTAAGACTCACGCAGAGACTCACGCAAAGACTCACAGAGGCTCACACAGAGACTCACAGGGACTCAGAGACTCACGCAGAGACTCACTCAGACTCGCGCAGAGACTCACGCAGAGACTCACGCAGAGACTCACTCAGAGACTCACTCAGAGACTCACTCAGATTCACTCAGACTCACTCAGACTCACAGGGACTCAATCGGACTCATCACATGGAGACCCACAGACCCTCACATAGAGACCCACAGACTCTCACAAAGACATCTATACTCATGCAGACACCCACTCAGAGAGTCGGATAGAAGGGGAGGGAGGGTTAGGGAGAGTTAAGTGAGCGAGAAGATGACTGGGTGGATGAGTGGGTGGTTGAGTGGGTGGATGAGTAGGTTGTTGAGTGGGTGGTTTGCGTGGGTGGATGAGCGGGTGGTTGAGCGGGTGGTTGAGTGGTTGGATGAGTAGGTGGTTGAGTGGGTGGTTGCGTGGGTGGATGAGCGGGTGGATGAGCTGGTGGATGAGCGGGTGGATGAGCGGGTGGATGAGCGGGTGGATGAGTGGGTGGTTGCGTAGGTGGTTGAGTGGGTGGATGAGCGGGTGGATGAGCGGGTGGATGAGCTGGTGGTTGAGCGGGTGGATGAGCGGGTGGATGAGCGGGTGGATGAGCGGGTGGATGAGTAGGTGGTTGAGTGGGTGGTTGCGTGGGTGGATGAGCGGGTGGATGAGCGGGTGGTTGAGCGGGTGGATGAGCGGGTGGATGAGCGGGTGGATGAGCGGGTGGTTGAGCGGGTGGATGAGTGAGTGGTTGAGCGGGCGGGCGAGTGGACGGGCGGGCGAGCGGGCGGTTGAGGTGTCTCCCGCCCGCAGGTGACGGATGATGGGTACGGCGTCTCCTACATCATCATGGGCGACAGCCTCATCAACTTCCACATCTCCAGCAAATTCTCCTGCCCTGAGACGGTGAGAGGGCGCACCAGCTGGTACCGGTGGTGGTGGTGGTTGTGGTGGTGGTGGTGGTGGTGTTGGACACGTGGTGGTGGTGGTGGTGGTGTTGGACACATAGTGAACGTGGTGGTGGTGGTATTTGTGGTGGTGGACACATGGTGGACGTGGTGGTGGTGTTGGACACGTGGTGGTGGTGGTGGTGTTGGACACGTGGTGGTGGTGGTGGTGTTGGACACATGGTGAATGTGGTGGTGGTGGTATTTGTGGTGGTGGACACATGGTGGACGTGGTGGTGGTGGTGGTGTTGGACGTGGTGGTGGTGGACACATGCTGGACGTGGTGGTGGTGTTGGACACGTGGTGGTGGTGGTGGTGGTGTTGGACACGTGGTGGTGGTGGTGTTGGACACGTGGTGGTGGTGGTGTTGGACACGTGGTGGTGGTGGTGGTGGTGTTGGACACGTGGTGGTGGTGGTGTTGGACACGTGGTGGTGGTGGTGTTGGACACGTGGTGGTGGTGGTGGTGTTGGACACGTGGTGGTGGTGGTGGTGGTGTTGGACACGTGGTGGTGGTGGCGGTGTTGGACACATGGTGGTGGTGGTGTTGGACACGTGGTGGTGGTGGTGGTGTTGGACACGTGGTGGTGGTGGTGTTGGACACGTGGTGGTGGTGGTATTTGTGGTGGTGGACACATGGTGGACGTGGTGGTGGTGTTGGACACGTGGTGGTGGTGTTGGACACGTGGTGGTGGTGGTGTTGGACACTTGGTGGACGTGGTGGTGGTGGTATTTGTGGTGGTGGAAACATGGTGGACGTGGTGGTGGTGGTGGTGTTGGACGTGGTAGTGGTGGACACATGGTGGACGTGGTTGTGGTGTTGGACACGTGGTGGTGGTGGTGGTGGTGTTGGACACGTGGTGGTGGTGGTGGTGTTGGACACGTGGTGGTGGTGGTGGTGTTGGACACGTGGTGGTGGTGGTGGTGGTGGTGTTGGACACGTGGTGGTGGTGGTGTTGGACACGTGGTGGTGGTGGTGTTGGACACGTGGTGGTGGTGGTGGTGTTGGACACATAGTGAACGTGGTGGTGGTGGTATTTGTGGTGGTGGACACATGGTGGACGTGGTGGTGGTGGTGTTGGACATGTGGTGGTGGTGGTGGTGGTGGTGTTGGACACGTGGTGGTGGTGGTGTTGTTGGACACGTGGTGGTGGTGTTGGACACATGGTGGACGTGGTGGTGGTATTTGTGGTGGTGGACACATGGTGGACGTGGTGGTGGTGTTGGACACGTGGTGGTGGTGGTGGTGTTGGACACGTGGTGGTGGTGGTGTTGGACACGTGGTGGTGGTGGTGTTGGACACGTGGTGGTGGTGTTGGACACATGGTGGACGTGGTAGTGGTGGTGGACGTGGTGGTGGTATTTGTGGTGGTGGACACATGGTGGACGTGGTGGTGGTGGTGGCGGCGGCGGCGGCCGTTGTTGTGGCCTCCTCCTCTCACCATCTCCCCCCCCCTCACCATCTCTCCCCCCCCTCTTCTCCCCAGGATTCTCACCGCTTTGGTGCCAACATTCGCTCGTCCATGATGGACATCCTCGCCCTCTTCAACCTGGACAAACAGTCTGCTACAGCGTCCCCCTAACCCCCGCAACCACCTCTGTCATGCCGCCCGGCTTAAACCGGATTAGACCACTCCAACATATGCCTGAACTGGTTTAGACAGGTTTAAACCACTCCTAAGGCCCGGGTTAAACCGGCTTAAACCATTCATGATTATGGCTAAACCGGACTAAACCGGGTTTAAACCACTCCTAAGGCCCCGGTTAAACCGGCTTAAACAATTCCTGATTATGGCTAAACCGGACTAAACCGGGTTTAAACCACTCCTAAGTCCCGGGTTAAACCGGTTTAAACCATTCCTGATTATGGCTAAACCGGAATAAACCGGGTTTAAACCACTCCTAAGGCCCGGGTTAAACCGGCTTAAACCATTCCTGATTATGGCTAAACCGGACTAAACCGGGTTTAAACCACTCCTAAGGCCCGGGTTAAACCGGCTTAAACCATTCATGATTATGGCTAAACCGGACTAAACCGGGTTTAAACCACTCCTAAGGCCCGGGTTAAACCGGCTTAAACCATTCATGATTATGGCTAAACCGGACTAAACCGGGTTTAAACCACTCCTAAGGCCCGGGTTAAACCGGCTTAAACCATTCATGATTATGGCTAAACCGGACTAAACCGGGTTTAAACCACTCCTAAGGCCCGGGTTAAACCGGCTTAAACCATTCATGATTATGGCTAAACCGGACTAAACCGGGTTTAAACCACTCCTAAAGCCCGGGTTAAACCGGCTTAAACCATTCCTGATTATGGCTAAACCGGACTAAACCGGGTTTAAACCACTCCTAAGGCCCGGGTTAAACCGGCTTAAACCATTCCTGATTATGGCTAAACCGGACTAAACCGGGTTTAAACCACTCCTAAGGCCCGGGTTAAACCGGCTTAAACCATTCCTGATTATGGCTAAACCGGACTAAACCGGGTTTAAACCACTCCTAAAGCCCGGGTTAAACCGGCTTAAACCATTCCTGATTATGGCTAAACCAGAATAAACCGGGTTTAAACCACTCCCAAGCCTGGGTGTTAAACAGGCTTAAACCACTCCTAAATCGGAGGTTCAAATGGCTTAAACCATTCCAAATCATGTCTTAACCGGTTTATGCAGGTTTAAACCACTCCTAAGCTCCGGTTAAACCACTGATGAACGCGAGTTAAACCGGCTTAAACCATTCCAAAACACGCCTAAACCGGTTTAAACCGCTCCTAAGCCTGGTTCAAACCACTCCTAAACCATAGGATAAGCCGGCTTAAACCATTCCAAAACACGCATAAACCGGTTTAAACCGCTCCTAAGCCTGGTTCAAACCACTCCTAAACCATAGGATAAGCCGGCTTAAACCATTCCAAAACACGCATAAACCGGTTTAAACCACTCCTAAGCCTGGTTCAAACCACTCCTAAACCATAGGATAAGCCGGCTTAAACCATTCCAAAACACGCCTAAACCGGTTTGGAGAGGTTTAAATCCACTCCTAAACCGGCTTAAACTACGTTTAAAAATCTGGGTTAAACCGGCTTAAACCACTCCTAAAACTGGCTTACACTTACCGTAAACCAACTTGGACCAACTTAAGCCAGTTTGGAACGCATAAAACACTCCTAAACCTGGCGATAAACTGACCTAGCCCGGAATGAGCTGGCCTAAACCGCTAAAACACTCCTAAAGCTGGCCTTGAACTGGCCTACGAATGCCTCGTTGATCGAACTACTCTGCCCATCACTAAACTCCTTCCACGGCACCCCTCCGCGCCGCGCCCGCAGGCGTGAAGCTCGCTACGTCTGTTCATCGGTGAACGGTCGTGCGGCGGTGGCCATAGGACTAGCCGAGAGGCTCTCAGACTCTCGTAGAGACCCACAGATTCGCAAAGGCACCCCCATAGACTCGTCGCACGGAGACCCACAGACTCGTCGCACGGAGACCCCCAGAGAGACCCCCCAGAGACTCGTACGGAGACCCCCATAGCCTCTCACGTAGACCCTCACGGAGACCCCATAGACCCTCACGGAGACCCCCATAGACCCTCACAGAGACCCCCATAGACTCGCACAGAGACCCCCATAGACTCTCACGGAGACCCTCACGGAGACCCCATAGACCCTCACGGAGACCCCCATAGACCCTCACAGAGACCCCCATAGACTCGCACAGAGACCCCCGTAGACCCCCACGGAGACCCCCATAGACTCTCATAGAGACCCCCATAGATCCTCACGGAGACCCTCACAGAGACCCCCATAGACCCTCACAGAGACCCCCATAGACTCGCACAGAGACCCCCGTAGACCCCCACGGAGACCCCCATAGACTCTCATAGAGACCCCCATAGATCCTCACGGAGACCCTCACAGAGACCCCCATAGACCCTCACGGAGACCCCCATAGACCCTCACAGAGACCCCCATAGATCCTCACGGAGACCCTCACAGAGACCCCCATAGATCCTCACGGAGACCCTCACGGAGACCCCCATAGACCCTCACAGAGACCCCCATAGACTCTCACAGAGACCCCCATAGACCCCCACGGAGACCCCCACAGAGACCCCCATAGACCCTCACGGAGACCCCCACAGAGACCCCCATAGACTCTCACAGAGACCCCCATAGACTCTCACAGAGACCCCCATAGACCCTCACGGAGACCCCCACAGAGACCCCCATAGACTCTCACAGAGACCCCCATAGACTCTCACGGCGACCCCCTTAGACTCGTACGGAGACCCCCATAGCCGCTCACGGAGACCCTCACGGAGACCCCCATAGACTCTCACAGAGACCCCCATAGACTCTCACAGAGACCCCCATAGACTCTCACAGAGACCCCCATAGACCCTCACAGAGACCCCCTTAGACTCTCACAGACCCCCATAGACTCTCACAGAGACCCCCATAGACCCTCACAGAGACCCCCTTAGACCCTCACAGAGACCCCCATAGACCCCCACGGAGACCCCCATAGACCCCCATAGACCCTCACAGAGACCCCCATAGACCCTCACAGAGACCCCCATAGACCCTCACAGAGACCCCCATAGACTCTCACAGAGACCCCCATAGACCCTCACAGAGACCCCCATAGACTCTCACAGAGACCCCATAGACTCTCACAGAGACCCCCTTAGACCCTCACAGAGACCCCCTTAGACCCCCACAGAGACCCCCATAGACTCTCATAGAGACCCCCATAGACTCTCACAGAGACCCCCATAGACTCTCACAGAGACCCCCATAGATCCTCACGGAGACCCCCAGAGACTCTCACAGAGACCCCCATAGACCCTCACGGAGACCCCCATAGACTCTCACAGAGACCCCCATAGACTCAAAGAGACCCCCATAGACCCTCACAGAGACCCCCTTAGACTCTCACAGAGACCCCCATAGACTCTCACGGAGACCCCATAGACTCTCACAGAGACCCCCATAGACTCTCACAGAGACCCCCATAGACTCTCACGGAGACCCCATAGACCCTCACAGAGACCCCCATAGACTCTCACAGAGACCCCCATAGACTCTCACAGAGACCCCCATAGATCCTCACGGAGACCCCCATAGACCCTCACGGAGACCCCCATAGACTCTCACAGAGACCCCATAGACCCTCACGGAGACCCCCATAGACCCTCACGGAGACCCCCATAGACCCCCACAGAGACCCCCATAGACTCTCATAGAGACCCCCATAGACCCTCACGGAGACCCCCATAGACTCTCACAGAGACCCCCATAGACCCTCACAGAGACCCCCATAGACTCTCACGGAGACCCCCATAGACTCTCACAGAGACCCCCATAGACCCTCACAGAGACCCCCATAGACTCCCACAGAGACCCCCATAGACCCTCACAGAGACCCCCAGAGACCCTCACAGAGACCCCCATAGACTCCCACAGAGACCCCCATAGACCCCCATAGACTCTCACAGAGACCCCCATAGACCCTCACAGAGACCCCCATAGACTCTCACGGAGACCCCCATAGACGCTCACAGAGACCCCCATAGACCCTTACAGAGACCCCCAGAGACCCTCACAAAGACCCCCATAGACTCCCACAGAGACCCCCATAGACCCCCATAGACTCTCACAGAGACCCCCATAGACCCTCACATAGACCCCCATAGACCCCCAGGGAGACCCCCATAGACCCCCACGGAGACCCCCATAGACCCTCACGGAGACCCCCATAGACTCTCACAGAGACCCCCATAGACTCACAGAGACCCCCATAGACCCTCACAGAGACCCCCAGAGACTCTCACGGAGACCCCCATAGACTCTCACAGAGACCTCTCACAGAGACCCCCATAGACCCTCACGGAGACCCTCACAGAGACCCCCATAGACTCTCACAGAGACCCCCACGGAGACCCCCATAGACCCTCACAGAGACCCCGCCGTGGCGTTGGGCGACCTTTATTGGTGGGTGTTTGCGGACGATGGGGTCAATCATGCTCACGGGGCACCGTGGAGGATCGCATCGGCAAGTGGCAGACGTGGGGAGCACACAGACGGCCATTGCCTCGCTCGCGACCAGCACGGCCTCACTCACTCGCTCGCTCGCGACCAACACGGCCTCACTCGCTCGCTCGCTCGCGACCAACACGGCCTCCCTCGCGACCAACACGGCCTCACTCGCGACCAACACGGCCTCACTCACTCGCGACCAACACGGCCTCACTCGCGACCAACACGGCCTCCCTCGCGACCAACACGGCCTCACTCGCTCGCGACCAACACGGCCTCACTCGCTCGCGACCAACACGGCCTCACTCACTCGCGACCAACACGGCCTCACTCACTCGCGACCAACACGGCCTCACTCACTCGCGACCAACACGGCCTCACTCACTCGCTCGCGACCAACACGGCCTCACTCACTCGCTCGCGACCAACACGGCCTCACTCACTCGCTCGCGACCAACACGGCCTCACTCACTCGCTCGCGACCAACACGGCCTCACTCACTCGCGACCAACACGGCCTCACTCACTCGCTCGCGACCAACACGGCCTCACTCGCTCGCGACCAACACGGCCTCACTCACTCGCGACCAACACGGCCTCACTCACTCGCTCGCGACCAACACGGCCTCACTCACTCGCGACCAACACGGCCTCACTCACGACCAACACGGCCTCACTCACTCGCTCGCGACCAACACGGCCTCACTCGCTCGCGACCAACACGGCCTCACTCACTCGCTCGCGACCAACACGGCCTCACTCACTCGCGACCAACACGGCCTCACTCACGACCAACACGGCCTCACTCACTCGCGACCAACACGGCCTCACTCGCTCGCGACCAACACGGCCTCACTCACGACCAACACGGCCTCCCTCGCGACCAACACGGCCTCACTCACGACCAACACGGCCTCACTCGCGACCAACACGGCCTCACTCACGACCAACACGGCCTCCCTCGCGACCAACACGGCCTCACTCGCGACCAACACGGCCTCACTCACTCACTCGCGACCAACACGGCCTCACTCGCTCGCTCGCTCGCTCGCGACCACGACCACGACCACGACGACCACGACGAATCGATCGCAAGGTCTTGGGAGCTCGCCGCCCGCCCCACCACGACGGCCCTGGACCACCGTAGCCCCTCGTCCTGGCCGCCCGTGGCCGGCCAAGGCCCTCCGCGAAACGTCGCCGTCCCCACCGGGGCCGCCGTTGATGCCCCGCCGCCGTTGATACCGCCGTTGATGACGCCGTTGATGCCCCGCCGTTGATGACGCCGTTGATGACGCCGTTGATGCCCCACCGTTGATGCCGGCCGTTGATGACGCCGTTGATGCCCCGCCGTTGATGCCCCACCGTTGATGCCCCGCCGTTGATGACGCCGTTGATGACGCCGTTGATGCCCCACCGTTGATGCCGGCCGTTGATGACGCTGTTGATGCCGGCCGTTGATGACGCCGTTGATGCCCCGCCGTTGATGCCCCACCGTTGATGCCCCGCCGTTGATGACGCCGTTGATGCCCCGCCGTTGATGACGCCGTTGATGCCCCGCCGTTGATGACGCCGTTGATGACGCTGTTGATGCCGGCCGTTGATGACGCCGTTGATGACGCCGTTGATGACGCCGTTGATGCCGGCCGTTGATGCCCCGCCGTTGATGCCCCACCGTTGATGCCGGCCGTTGATGCCCCGCCGTTGATGACGCCGTTGATGACGCCGTTGATGCCCCGCCGTTGATGACGCCGTTGATGACGCCGTTGATGACGCTGTTGATGACGCCGTTGATGCCCCGCCGTTGATGACGCCGTTGATGACGCCGTTGATGACGCCGTTGATGCCCCGCCGTTGATGACGCCGTTGATGCCCCGCCGTTGATGACACCGTTGATGACGCTGTTGATGACGCCGTTGATGCCCCGCCGTTGATGACGCCGTTGATGCCCCGCCGTTGATGACGCCGTTGATGACGCCGTTGATGCCCCGCCGTTGATGCCCCACCGTTGATGCCGGCCGTTGATGCCCCGCCGTTGATGCCCCACCGTTGATGACACCGTTGATGCCGGCCGTTGATGCCCCGCCGTTGATGCCCCGCCGTTGATGACGCCGTTGATGCCGGCCGTTGATGCCGGCTGTTGATGCCGGCCGTTGATGCCGGCCGTTGATGCCGGCTGTTGATGCCCCGCCGTTGATGACGCCGTTGATGACGCCGTTGATGCCCCACCGTTGATGCCCCACCGTTGATGCCCCGCCGCCGCTGTTTCTGATCGACGTCTCGATGTTTCGATTCGACGGCCTCTCACCGCTTCCGGCTCGTTAGGCGAAGTGCGCCGCGTGGATGGGTGAGTATGGATCGATGGGTGTGGATCGATGAGTATTGATAGGTGATTATGGATAGGTGATTATGGATAGAAGAGTATTGATAGATGTGTATGGATAGGTGAGTATTGATGGATGAGTATTGATAGGTGATTATGGATAGGTGATTATGGATAGAAGAGTATTGATAGATGAGTATGGATCGATGGGTATTGATGGATGAGTATTGATAGGTGATTATGGATAGGTGATTATGGATAGAAGAGTATTGATAGATGAGTATGGATCGATGGGTGTTGATGGATGAGTATTGATAGGTGAGTATTGATAGGTGAGTATGGATAGATGAGTATTGATAGGTGAGTATGGATGGATGAGTATGGATCGATGAGTATTGATAGATGAGTATGGATAGATGAGTATTGATAGATGAGTATTGATAGATGTGTATGGATAGGTGAGTATTGATAGGTGAGTATGGATCGATGAGTATGGATCGATGAGTATTGATAGATGAGTATGGATAGATGAGTATTGATAGATGTGTATGGATAGGTGAGTATTGATAGGTGAGTATTGATAGATGAGTATGGATAGATGAGTATGGATAGATGTGTATGGATAGATGTGTATGGATAGATGAGTATGGATAGATGTGTATGGATAGATGAGTATTGATAGATGAGTATGGATAGATGAGTATTGATAGATGAGTATTGATAGATGAGTATTGATAGATGAGTATTGATAGATGAGTATTGATAGATGAGTATTGATAGATGAGTATTGATAGATGAGTATTGATAGATGAGTATTGATAGATGAGTATTGATAGATGAGTATTGATAGATGAGTATTGATAGATGAGTATTGATAGATGAGTATTGATAGATGTGTATGGATCGATGAGTATTGATAGATGTGTATTGATATATGAGTATTGATATATGAGTATTGATAGATGAGTATGGATAGGTGATGCGCGCGGGCGGGTGAGGAGGTGGAGGCGTTGAACGGAGGGGAGCTTGCGTGCGGCCCCCACCGCTCTCAATCCGTGTGTTCGATTAATTAGTCCCCCACACACACACACACACGCGATGCTACACCACAGGGTTGAGAAACCCCCAACGCTCTTGAGATTGTGACCAGTGCCGGGATTATCCGAGTAGCCGTGCCGGACTAGGCCCGTGCGGGGCTTGTAGCGTGCGTTATATGGGATGCCCTAAATGACAGAGACACATGTAAGACGCTTAAATGTTAAAACGCACAAGTGATTGTAATTGTTTTTTTTCATTTGCCACACGGCCAGATAATACGACAAATCGCTCGCCTTAAACACCCCGGTCGTTCGTGATAGTCGAAGGCGGTGTAGTACTGTAGTGACAGAGCAAGTGCAGAGTTACTGAGCCGGAATTGATGGCTTGAAGGCGTTTAGCGCGGGGCCCTTGAAAGTACGGGGCCCGTAGCTACTACTACACGTGTAGTAGTAGTAGCTATACATGTAGTAGCAGCTACTATACATGTAGTAGCAGCTACTATACATGTAGTAGTAGCTACTATACTACATGTAGTAGTAGCTACTATACATGTAGTATAGTAGCTACTACATATGTAGTACTACATATGTAGTAGCTACTACACATGTGTAGCTACTACGTATAGCTACTACTACTACACGTGTAGTAGTAGTAGCTATACATGTAGTAGCAGCTGCTATACATGTAGTAGTAGCTACTGTACATGTAGTAGTAGCTACTACTACATGTATAGTAGCTACTACTACACATGTGTAGTAGCTACTACATATGTGGCTACTACATGTATTGTAGCTACATATGTAGTAGCTGCTACTACATGTATAGTAGCTACATATGTAGTAGCTGCTACTACATGTATAGTAGCTACTACTACATGTATAGTATGTGTAGTAGCTACTACATGTGTAGTATAGTAGCTACTACATGTGTAGTATAGTAGCTACTACATGTGTAGTATAGTAGCTACTACATGTGTAGTATAGTAGCTACTACATGTGTAGTATGTGTAGTAGCTACTACATGTGTAGTATGTGTAGTAGCTACTACATGTGTAGTATGTGTAGTAGCTACTACATGTGTAGTATGTGTAGTAGCTACTACATGTGTAGTATGTGTAGTAGCTACTACATGTGTAGTGTAGTAGCTACTACATGTGTAGTGTAGTAGCTACTACATGTGTAGTGTAGTAGCTACTACACGCGTAGCTACTACACGTGTAGCTTCTTTTGATACTAGGCAGTGGCGGATTATTGTGGTAGCAAAATTCGCTCCAAAAGCTACGGGCCCACGCACTTTAAAGGGGCCCCGTGCTAAACGCCTTCAATCTCTCAATTCCCGTTCAGTGACTCTGCACTTGCTTTATTACTACAGTACTATACCGCCTTCGACTTTTACGAACGACCGGGGTGTTTAAAGGTTAGCGATTTGACGTGTTATCTGGCTGTGTAGCAAATGAAAACAAATCCAATTACTTTACTGTACAAGTAAAAAAAATGTGTTTACGTTTTTTTTTGTTTAACTTAGGGGCCCCTTTAAAACATTTGCTACGGGCCCCACACGCGCTTAAAACGGCACTGGCTACGACTATAGTACTATACTGCCTTCAAGCTTTTTCAGGACGACTGTGGGTGGCGTTTAAGGTTAGCGATGCGTCGCGTTATCCGCCTTCGTAGCAAATGAAAACGTACAATTGCTTTGCCGTGCAAGTCACACATTTTTCGTGTTTTTAATATTTAAATTTAATTCAGGGCCCCTTCATAACGCTTGCTACAGGGCCCCGCTGCTAGTTGGAACCCCCCGACACCGATTGTGACTACGATTGCATTTCTTTAGAACGTTATTGTTTGTTTTGTTTGTTTTTGCCGTGTTCACGTTTGGTTGACCTTTCAGCGCGCCTCCGATTTATCGCAGGGGGAGTGGGTGGGGGAGGGGGACGCGATATGTATGGTGCAAAAGAAGTTGTAGCATACACGCGTGCGCACGTACGTACGTACACGCACGCAGGACCATCCCCCGGTGGGCACGGGTTTACTCCTGGGTGGAACTCGAATAAACATTCGGCAAAGCCGCCCATTTTGCGTCCTGGGGGGGGGTTTGTGTAGTCCTGGCAGCTGATTGGCTGTTGTGCAGTCGCAGCGGTGACATCACGGTTACCATGTTGCGTCCTGGGGGGGGTTTGTGCGTGTAATCCTGGCAGCTGATTGGCTGTTGTGCAGTCGCAGCGGTGACATCACGGTTACCATGTTGCGTCCTGGGGGGGTTTGTGCGTGTAATCCTGGCAGCTGATTGGCTGTTGTGCAGTCGCAGCGGTGACATCACGGTTACCATGTTGCGTCCTTGGGGGGGGTTTGTGCGTGTAATCCTGGCAGCTGATTGGCTGTTGTGCAGTCGCAGCGGTGACATCACGGTTACCATGTTGCGTCCTGGGGGGGGTTTGTGCGTGTAATCCTGGCAGCTGATTGGCTGTTGTGCAGTCGCAGCGGTGACATCACGGTTACCATGTTGCGTCCTGGGGGTTTGTGTAATCCTGGCAGCTGATTGGCTGTTGTGCAGTCGCAGCGGTGACATCACGGTTACCATGTTGTGTCCTGGGGGTTTGTGTAATCCTGGCAGCTGATTGGCTGTTGTGCAGTCGCAGTGGTGACATCACGGTTACCATGTTGCGTCCTGGGGGGTTTGTGTAATCCTGGCAGCTGATTGGCTGTTGTGCAGTCGCAGTGATGACATCATGGTTACCATGTTGCGTCCTGGGGGTTTGTGCATGTAATCCTGGCAGCTACACCATACACTACACTATACACTACACTACTATACACTACACTATACACTACTATACACTACACTACTATACACTACACTATACACTACACACTACACTATACACTACACTATACACTACTATACACTACACACCACACTATACACTACACTATACACTACTATACACTACACACCACACTATACACTACACTATACACTACACACCACACTACACTACGCACTTCACACACACGATACACCACACAAACTACACCACACACACTACACTATGCACCACACACTCCACACTCTCCACACTCTCCACACCACACACACCACACTATGCACCACACCATATACACACCACACACAACTACACACACAATGTGTGTGGGATTGGAAGGATGCCCTGGTGGTCCCCCTCTTCAAGAAGGGGGACCGCACAGACTGTAACAACTACAGGGGCATCTCACTCCTCAGTGTGCCAGGAAAGGTCCTGGCAAGGATTATTCAACATCGCCTTGCCAGGCACGCTGAGGAGAGGCTTGCGGAGCCCCAATGCGGTTTCAGGAAAGGGCGGTCCTGCACAGATGCCATATTTTCTGTCCGTCTGCTACAGCAGAGGTGTAGGGAATTCCAACAAGACCTACATCTCTGCTTTATTGACCTGGTCAAGGCCTATGATACCATCAGTAGGCCTGGGCTCTGGGTTGTTCTTCGTGCTTTTGGAGTACCTGACCCTCTGCTCACGATCATTAAGGACCTTCATGATGGTGAGCGGGCCCGGGTAAAACTACGTGGCCGGGAGTCCGAGCCATTCCCTGTACACCTTGGGGTGCGACAGGGATGTCCTCTGGTTCCCACATTATTTAACATCTATTTTGACCACGTAGTTCGTGAAGCCTTCAATAGCTGTACCGGGGGAATCTCCATTTGGTACAGATATAATGGGAGGCTGATCGATGCCCGGGTGCGGTCAAGGGATGGCTCCCTTGTGCTCAACCACGTTATGTATGCCGATGATTTGGTAATAGCTGCTCATTCAGTGGAGGAGTTGGAGACGCTGCTGCTGAGACTGGAGCGTGCCACTAAGAGATGGGGCCTTATCATCAGCCCCACCAAAACTAAGCACCTGCCTGGGTATTTAATACCATCGGACACTCCACCCCCACAACTCCCAATCGGTGATGGGCCAGTTTTGGAGAGTGGAGAGTTTCCCATACCTGGGCAGTGTGCTTATGACCGGCTCCAGTTTAACAGCAGAGGTCTCACTCTGAATCAGTCGGGCGGCAATATCTTTTCATCGGTTGCGTAACGCTGTGTGGAAGCTACCTGGTCTGTCGCTCCGCACTAAGCTTCAGGTCTTCTCGGCCACGGTCATTCCCTCCCTTCTCTACGCTTGCGAAACGTGGACCCCTCTAATGGAACATCTTCGCCGGTTAGAAACATTTAGGCTAGCCTGCCTACGATCCATCCTGGGTTTATCCAGACTGGATTGTGTGAGGAGCTCACAAATCCTTGAAAGATCTGGGCAGGGTCCCATCGGTGAGCTCCTCCGGCAGGCAAGGCTGCGTTGGCTGGGTCATGTAGCCCGCATGCCCAGCCACCGCATGCCGAAACAGCTTTTGTTCGGCCGGATCGAGGGGGCTAAACGGGCGCGGCACGGGCTAGAGAAGAGATGGAGTGATGTGGTACAGGAGGACGTGGAGCTGAGTGGACTTGCCGATGACTGGTACCAGCGGTGTCAAGATCGGCCTCTGTGGAGGAGGCTCGTGAAGGACGCTACTGAGCAGTTGGAGGCAGTCGCCCTCCAACAACAACGGAGGGCGGAGGAGCGACGCTCACAACAACGAGCGGAGCGCCGGGTGGCTAAAGCAAGCAGGTTGGCACAGTAGGGGGCACAGGTGGTGCATCAGCCAGTCATCTCAGTCAGTCGACCCGTGGCACCTGGGTCTGCCCCGTGACCTCCTGCCCGCGGGCATTCGACACTTCACGTGGCCTCAAGGTGCACATGGCCTGGCACAAGTGGCGAATGGCGGTTGTGTGGTTGTATGTGTGGTTGTGTGTGTGGTTGTGTGTGTGGTTGTGTGTGTGGTTGTGTGTGTGGTTGTGCGTGTGGTTGTACGATGTCATTCAGCTACACTGGTGGTGGTTGCTGGTGGCGGTGTTGGCCAGTAGTGGGGAGCGGTGGTGCAGCGGTTAGCGCTGCGTTACGAACCCGGCCACGATCCGAGTTCGATTCCCGGTCACAACCACCACCACCACCACCCCTACCACCATCACCCCTACCACCAACACCCCTACCACCATCACCACTATCACCACCACCAACACCCCTACCACCACCATCACCACTATCACCACCACCACCATCACCACCCCCGCCACCACCGCCACCCCCATCAGGCGTGACCACCCCCACCACCACCCCCACCACCACCATCACCACCACCCCTACCATCACCACCACCCCCACCACCATCACCACCACCATCACCACCACCTTCACCACCACCACCACCCCCCGTGCCGCCGCCCCTACCACGCCGGGCCCGGCTCCGCACTTTCCCGTGCAGCTCCAACAGCTCACGCAGGCAGCAACGCACCGCCTGTAGCCCAGACACACCCGCGGCACGTGCACCACCACCACCACCACCTCCACCACCACCACCACCACCACCTCCACCACTACTACCACCGCCACCACCGGCGCTACCACTACCACCACCACCGCCACCGCCGCATCTCCCGCTCTTCCCCCCGACAGCCGGGATGGCCGTCTTCCCCGGGGCCTCCGCCTCTCCACTTCCCGCTCCGCCTCCTCCGCTTCCTGCTCCACTTCCTCCTCCACCTCCTGCTCCGCCTCCTCCGCTTCCTCCTCCACTTCCTGCTCCACCTCCTCTGCCTCCTGCTCCACCTCCTCTGCCTCCTGCTCCACCTCCTCCGCCTCCTGCTCCGCCTCCTCCTCCACTTCCCGCTCCGCCCCCCCGTGCCGCGGTCCGCCCCGCCGGTGCGCCCCTCCGGAGCGCCCTGACGGAGGCGGCGAGGTGCTGGAAGACCTCGCACGCCTCGGCGCGGCTGTCCTGCGCCGAGATCTCGCGGAAGCCGCAGCCCAGAGACGCGGCCAGCGCCCGGCCCTCCTCGGCCGACACCTCGCGGAGGCCCCCGACCCCCGGGGCCTCCTTCTTGGTGGCCACCACCATCACCGCCTCGTCCACCGGCGGGCCGCCAACGTCGCCGCCACTGCCCGGGTCTTTGGTTGATGGTTGCTCGGCGGAGGCGGCGGAGGCGGTGGTGGCGTGGTGGTGGTGGCGGCGGCGGTGGTGGCTGACTCCGTCACCTCGCGCGTCTCCACCCCCTCCGCCACCACCACCACCACCTCCGTGCCTCTCATCGCCGCCATCGCCGCCGCTATCGCCACCCCCCGCCGCGTGGCTATCGTCGTCGCCGTGGCGACAGCGGCGGTGGTGGTGGCCGTGATGTTGTTGATGTTGTTGTTGTTGATGTTGTTGTTGAAGTTGTCGCCGCCTCTGCTGCACCACCAGCTGGTGGAGGCGCGGCACGGCCAGGAAGCTCTGGCGGTCGGTCACCGAGTAGGCGATGAGGAAGGCGTGGCCCCACGCCACGTGCTCACGCACCAGGGCCTCGTCATCGCCCTGTGACGTCACGGGGGGGGTGGGCGGGGCCACGCGTCACAGTTAGCCCACGTGCTCACCAAGCACCAGGGACTGGTCACCGCCCTGTGACGTCACGGGGGGGGCGGGGCCACGCGTCACAGTTAGCCCACGTGCTCACCAAGCACCAGGGACTGGTCACCGCCCTGTGACGTCACGGGGGGGCAGGGCCACGTGTCACAGCCCACGTGCTCACGCACCAGGGACTCGTCATCGCCCTGTGACGTCACGGGGGGGGGGCGGGGCCACATGTCACAGTTAGCCCACGTGCTCACGCACCATGGACTCGTCATAGCCCTGTGACGTCACAGGGAGGGCGGGGCCACGTATCAAAGTTAGCCCACTTGCTCACGCACGTGGGCTATCACGATCATCACCATCATCGCCATCATCATCATCACCATCATCACCACCATCATCATCTTCACCATCATCATCACCATCATCATCACCACCATCATCATCACCATCATCATCTTCACCATCATCTTCACCATCATCTTCACCATCATCACCATCATCACCACCATCATCACCACCATCATCACCATCACGTCCACGTGATGGTGATGTATGAGTAGCAGTGAGGCAGCTCTGAGAGGCGGCGTGATGGAGATTCTCATTGTGGAAGGCGACACACAGACCTCCTGTAGAGCAGGCGAGGTAGTCAACATCTCAGCCACTGTGATGATGATGAGAGAGAGACACAGACCTCCTGTAGAGCAGGCGAGGTAGTCAACATCTCATAGCCACTGTGATGTTGATGATGAGAGAGAGACACAGACCTACTGTAGACCAGGCGAGGTAGTCAACATCTCATAGCCACCGTGATGATGATGAGAGAGAGACACAGACCTCCTGTATACCACGCGAGGTAGTCAACATCTCATAGCCACTGTGATGATGATGAGGGAGAGACACAGACCTCCTGTATACCAGGCGAGGTAGTCAACATCTCATAGCCACCGTGATGATGATGAGAGAGAGACACAGACCTCCTGTATACCAGGCGAGGTAGTCAACATCTCATAGCCACTGTGATGATGATGAGAGAGAGACACAGACATCCTGTAGACCAGGCGAGGTAGTCAACATCTCATAGCCAATGTGATGATGATGAGAAAGAGACACAGACCTCCTGTATACCAGGCGAGGTAGTCAACATCTCATAGCCACTGTGATGATGATGATGATGAGAGAGAGAAACACACCTCCTGTACACCAGACGAGGTAGTCAACATCTCATAGCCACCGTGATGATGATGATGATGAGAGAGAGACACAGACCTCCTGTACACCAGACGAGGTAGTCAACATCTCATAGCCACCGTGATGATGATGATGATGAGAGAGAGACACAGACCTCCTGTAGAGCAGGCGAGGTAGTTAACATCTCATAGCCACTTTGATGATGATGATGATGATGAGAGACACAGACCTCCTGTATACCAGGCGAGGTAGTCAACATCTCATAGCCACTGTGATGATGCTGATGATGAGAGAGAGACACAGACCTCCTGTATACCAGGCGAGGTAGTCAACATCTCATAGCCACTGTGATGATGATGATGAGAGAGAGACACAGACCTCCTGTACACCAGGCGTGGTAGTCAACATCTCATAGCCACTGTGATGATGATGATGAGAGAGAGACACAGACCTCCTGTAGTCCAGGCGAGGTAGTCAACATCTCATAGCCACTGGGATGATGATGATGAGAGAGACGCAGACCTCCTGTATACCAGGCGAGGTAGTCAACATCTCCTAGCCACCGTGATGATGATGATAAGAGAGAGACACAGACCTCCTGTAACCCAGGCGAGGTAGTCAACATCTCATAGCCACCGTGATGATGATGATGATGAGAGAGAGACACAGACCTCCAGTATATCAGGCGAGGGAGTCAACATCTCATAGCCACTGTGATGATGTTGAGAGACACAGACCTCCTGTAGACCATCCGAGGTAGTTAACATCTCATAGCCACTGTGATGATGATGATGATGAGAGAGAAAAGCAGACCTCCTGTAGACCAGGCGAGGTAGTCAACATCTCATAGCCACTGTGATGATGATGATGAGAGAGAGACACAGACCTCCAGTATATCAGGCGAGGTAGTCAACATCTCATAGCCACTGTGATGATGATGATGAGAAAGAGACACAGACCTCCTGTAGACCAGGCGAGGTAGTAACATCTCATAGCCACTGTGATGATGATGATGAGAGACACAGACCTCCTGTAAACCTGGCGAGGTAGTCAACATCTCATAGCCACTGTGATGATGATGATGAGAGAGAAACAGACCTCCTGTAGACCAGGCGAGGTAGTCAACATCTCATAGCCACTGCGCTGATGATGATGATGAGAGAGAGACACAGACCTCCTGTACACTAGGCGAGGTAGTCAACATCTCAGCCACTGTGATGATGATGATGAGAGAGAGACACAGACCTCCTGTACACCGGGCGAGGTAGTCAACATCTCAGCCACTGTGATGATGATGATGAGAGAGATACACAGACCTCCTGTATACCTGGTGAGGTAGTCAACATCTCATAGCCACTGTGATGATGATGAGAGAGAGACACAGACCTCCTGTATACCAGGCGAGGTAGTTAACATCTCATAGCCACTGTGATAATGATGATGATGAGAGACACAGACCTCCTGTAGACCAGGCGAGGTAGTCAACATCTCATAGTCACTGGGATGATGATGATGAGAGAGACGCAGACCTCCTGTAGATCAGGCGAGGTAGTCAACATCTCCTAGCCACCGTGATGATGATAAGAGAGAGACACAGACCTCCTGTAACCCAGGCGAGGTAGTCAACATCTCATAGCCACCGTGATGATGATGAGAGAGAGACACAGACCTCCTGTAGACCAGGCGAGGTAGTCAACATCTCATAGCCACCGTGATGATGATGATGAGAGAGACACATACCTCCTGTAGACCAAGCGAGGTGGTCAACATCTCCTAGACACCGTGATGATGATGAGAGAGAGACACAGACCTCCTTTAGCCCTGGCGAGGTAGTCAACATCTCATAGCCACTGTGATGATGTTGAGAGAGAGACACAGACCTCTTGTAGACCAAGCGAGGTGGTCAACATCTCCTAGACACCGTGATGGTGATGAGAGAGAGACACAGACCTCCTGTAGACCAGGCGAGGTAGTTAACATCTCATAGCCACTGTGATGATGATGATGAGAGAGAGAGAGAGAGACACAGACCTCCTGTAGACAATTCGAGGTAGTTAACATCTCATAGCCACTGTGATGATGATGATGATGAGAGAGAGACACAGACCTCCAGTATATCAGGCGAGGTAGTCAACATCTCATAGCCACTGTGATGATGATGATGATGATGACAGAGACACAGACCTCCTGTAGACCAGGCGAGGTAGTCAACATCTCATAACCACTGTGATGATGAGAGAGAGACACAGACCTCCTGTAGACCAGGCGAGGTAGTCAACATCTCATAGCCACTGTGATGATGATGATGAGAGACACAGACCTCCTGCAGACCAGGCGAGGTAGTCAACATCTCATAGCCACTGTGATGATGATGATGAGAGAGAGACACAGATGTCCTGTAGACCAGGCGAGGTAGTCAACATCTCATAGCCACTGTGATGATGATGATGAGAAAGAGACACAGACCTCCTGTATACCAGGCGAGGTAGTTAACATCTCATAGCCACTGTGATGATGATGATGAGAGACACATACCTCCTGTATACCAGGCGAGGTAGTCAACATCTCATAGTCACTGTGATGATGATGATGAGAGAGAGACACAGACCTCCTGTACACCAGGCGAGGTAGTCAACATCTCATAGCCACTGCGCTGATGATGATGATGAGAGAGAGACACAGACCTCCTGTAGACCATTCGAGGTAGTCAACATATCAGCCACTATGATGATGATGAGAGAGAGACACAGACCTCCTGTATACCGGCGAGGTAGTCAACATCTCATAGCCACTGTGATGATGATGAGAGAGACACAGACCTCCTGTACACCAGGCGAGGTAGTCAACATATCAGCCACTGTGATGATGATGATGAGAGAGAGACACAGACCTCCTGTATCCCAGGCGAGGTAGTCAACATCTCATAGCCACCGTGATGATGATGATGATGATAAGAGAGAGACAAAGACCTCCTGTAGCCCAGGCGAGGTAGTCAACATCTCATAGCCACTGTGATGATGTTGAGAGAGAAACACAGACATCCTGTAGACCATTCGAGGTAGTTAACATCTCATAGCCACTGTGATGATGATGATGAGAGAGAGAAAAACAGACCTTCTGTAGACCAGGCGAGGTAGTCAACATCTCATATCCACTGTGATGATGATGAGAGAGAGTCACAGACCTCCTGTATACCAGGCGAGGTAGTCAACATCTCAGCCACTGTGATGATGATGAGAGACACAGACCTCCTGTAGACCAGGCGAGGTAGTCAACATCTCATAGCCACTGTGATGATGTTGAGAGAGAAACACAGACCTCCTGTACACCAGGCGAGGTAGTCAACATCTCATAACCACTGTGATGATGATGATGATGAGAGAGAGACACAGACCTCCTGTATACCAGGCGACGTAGTCAACATCTCATAGCCACTGTGATGATGATGATGAGAGAGAGACACAGACCTCCTGTAGACCATTCGAGGTAGTCAACATCTCATAGCCACTGTGATGATGATGATGAGAGAGAGACACAGACCTCCTGTAGACCATTCGAGGTAGTTAACATCTCATAGCCACTGTGATGACGATGATGATGATGAGAGAGAAAAGCAGACCTCCTGTAGACCAGGCGAGGTAGTCAACATCTCATAGCCACTGTGATGATGATGATGAGAGAGAGACACAGACCTCCTGTAGACCAGGCGAGGTAGTCAACATCTCATAGCCACTGTGATGATGTAGAGAGAGAGACACAGACCTCCTGTAGACCAGGCGAGGTAGTCAACATCTCATAGCCACTGTGATGATGTTGAGAGAGAAACACAGACCTCCTGTAGACAAGGCGAGGTAGTCAACATCTCATAACCACTGTGATGATGATGATGATGATGAGAGAGAGACACAGACCTCCAGTATATCAGGCGAGGCAGTCAACATCTCATAGCCACTGTGATGATGATGAGAAAGAGACACAGACCTCCTGTATACCAGGCGAGGTAGTAACATCTCATAGCCACTGTGATGATGATGATGATGAGAGACACAGACCTCCTGTAAACCTGGCGAGGTAGTCAACATCTCATAGCCACTGTGATGATGATGATGAGAGAGACACAGACCTCCTGTAGACCAGGCGAGGTAGTCAACATCTCATAGCCACTGCGCTGATGATGATGATGAGAGAGAGACACAGACCTCCTGTACACTAGGCGAGGTAGTCAACATCTCAGCCACTGTGATGATGATGATGAGAGAGAGACACAGTTCTCCTGTTCACCGGGCGAGGTAGTCAACATCTCAGCCACTGTGATGATGATGATGAGAGAGAGACACAGACCTCCTGTATACCTGGCGAGGTAGTCAACATCTCATAGCCACTGTGATGGTGATGATGATGAGAGAGAGACACAGACCTCCTGTATACCAGGCGAGGTAGTTAACATCTCATAGCCACTATGATGATGATGATGATGAGAGACACAGACCTCCTGTAGCCCAGGCGAGGTAGTCAACATCTCATAGTCACTGGGATGATGATGATGAGAGAGACGCAGACCTCCTGTAGATCAGGCGAGGTAGTCAACATCTCCTAGCCACCGTGATGATGATGATAAGAGAGAGACACAGACCTCCTGTAACCCAGGCGAGGTAGTCAACATCTCATAGCCACCGTGATGATGATGAGAGAGAGACAAAGACCTCCTTTAGCCCTGGCGAGGTAGTCAACATCTCATAGCCACTGTGATGATGTTGAGAGAGAGATACAGACCTCCTGTAGACCAGGCGAGGTAGTTAACATCTCATAGCCACTGTGATGATGATGATGAGAGAGAGAGACACAGACCTCCTGTAGACCATTCGAGGTAGTTAACATCTCATAGCCACTGTGATGATGATGAGAGAGAGACACAGACCTCCAGTATATCAGGCGAGGTAGTCAACATCTCATAGCCACTGTGATGATGATGATGACAGAAACACAGACCTCCTGTAGACAAGGCGAGGTAGTCAACATCTCATAGCCACTGTGATGATGATGATGAGAGAGAGACAGACCTCCTGTACACCAGGCGAGGTAGTCAACATCTCATAACCACTGTGATTATGATGATGAGAGAGAGACACAGACCTCCTGTAGACCAGGCGAGGTAGTCAACATCTCATAGCCACTGTGATGATGATGATGATGAGAGACACAGACCTCCTGCAGACCAGGCGAGATAGTCAACATCTCATAGCCACTATGATGATGATGATGAGAGAGAGACACAGATGTCCTGTAGACCAGGCGAGGTAGTCAACATCTCATATCCACTGTGATGATGATGATGAGAAAGAGACACAGACCTCATGTATACCAGGCGAGGTAGTTAACATCTCATAGCCACTATGATGATGATGATGAGAGACACATACCTCCTGTACACCAGGCGAGGTAGTCAACATCTCATAGCCACTGTGATGATGATGATGATGAGAGAGAGACACAGACCTCCTGTAGACCAGGCGAGGTAGTCAACATCTCATAGCCACTGCGCTGATGATGATGATGAGAGAGAGACACAGACCTCCTGTAGACCATTCGAGGTAGTCAACATATCAGCCACTGTGATGATGATGATGAGAGAGAGACACAGACCTCCTGTACACCAGGCGAGGTAGTCAACATATCAGCCACTGTGATGATGATGATGAGAGAGAGACACAGACCTCCTGTAGACCAGGCGAGGTAGTCAACATCTCATAGCCACTGTGATGATGTTGAGAGAGAAACACAAACCTCCTGTACACCAGGCGAGGTAGTCAACATCTCATAACCACTGTGATAATGATGATGAGAGAGAGACACAGACCTCCTGTAGACCAGGCGACGTAGTCAACATCTCATAGCCACTGTGCTGATGATGAGAGACTCAGACCTCCTGCAGACCAGGCGAGGTAGTCAACATCTCATAGCCACTGTGATGATGATGATGAGAGAGAGACACAGATGTCCTGTAGACCAAGCGAGGTAGTCAACATCTCATAGCCACTGTGATGATGATGATGAGAAAGAGACACAGACCTCCTGTAGACCAGGCGAGGTAGTCAACATCTCATAGCCACTGCGCTGATGATGATGATGAGAGAGAGACACAGACCTCCTGTAGACCATTCGAGGTAGTCAACATATCAGCCACTGTGATGATGATGATGAGAGAGAGACACAGACCTCCTGTACACCAGGCGAGGTAGTCAACATATCAGCCACTGTGATGATGATGATGAGAGAGAGACACAGACCTCCTGTAGACCAGGCGAGGTAGTCAACATCTCATAGCCACTGTGATGATGTTGAGAGAGAAACACAAACCTCCTGTACACCAGGCGAGGTAGTCAACATCTCATAACCACTGTGATAATGATGATGAGAGAGAGACACAGACCTCCTGTAGACCAGGCGACGTAGTCAACATCTCATAGCCACTGTGCTGATGATGAGAGACACAGACCTCCTGCAGACCAGGCGAGGTAGTCAACATCTCATAGCCACTGTGATGATGATGATGAGAGAGAGACACAGATGTCCTGTAGACCAAGCGAGGTAGTCAACATCTCATAGCCACTGTGATGATGATGATGATGAGAAAGAGACACAGACCTCCTGTAGACCAGGCGAGGTAATCAACATCTCATAGCCACTGTGATGACGATGATGATGATGAGAGAGAGAAACAGACCTCCTGTATACCAGGCGAGGTAGTCAACTTCTCAGAGCCACTGTGATGATGATGATGATGAGAGAGAGACACAGACCTCCTGTAGACTAGGCGAAGTAGTCAACATCTCATAGCCACTGTGATGATGATGATGAGAGAGAGAGACACAGACCTCCTGTAGACCAGGCGAGGTAGTCAACATCTGAGAGCCACTGTGATGATTATGAGAGAGAGACACAGACCTCCTGTAGACCAGGCGAAGTAGTCAACATCTCATAGCCACTGTGATGATGATGATGAGAGAGAGACACAGACCTCCTGTAGACCAGGCGAGGTAGTCAACATCTCATAGCCACTGTGATGATGATGAGAGAGAGAAACAGACCTCCTGTAGACCAGGCGAGGTAGTGAACATCATTTAAGGTTGAGTTGACCTAGGGGAGGAGGCCCAGCGTTGGTTGGCTACTGGTATCACTCCTGGTGCTGTGTGTAGTAAATATCGCCACTGGGGAGACAAAGGCGGCCGGGCGTGGTGCTGGCCACCCACCCCCTCGTGTGCCACGGTGCCGGTAGCCTGCATTGGTGGTGCTCGCTAACAGCACTTGCCCCTACAGCCCTGCTAGAGGCTACCTGGGGGATCTTTGTCTGTGTAAAGGTGCTGCTGCTACTCGCTACTCACAGCACTTGCCCCTACAGCCCTGCTAGAGGCTACACGGGGGATCTTTGTCTGTGTATAGGTGCTGCTGCTACTCGCTACTAACAGCACTTGCCCCTACAGCCCTGCTAGAGGCTACACGGGGGATCTTTGTCCGTGTATAGGTGCTGCTGCTACTCGCTACTAACAGCATTTGCCCACTCATTCACTCACCCACTCACCAACTCACTCACTCATCCACTCACTCACCATCACCCACGCACTCACCAACTCACTCACCCACTCACTCACCCACTCACCCACTCACTCACTCACCCACACACTCACTCACTCACCCACTCACTCACCCACTCACTCACCCACTCACTCATCCACTCACTCACTCACCCATCACCCACTCACTCACCCACTCACTCATCCACTCACTCACTCACCTACTCACTGACCCATCACCCACTCACTCACCCACTCACTCACTCACCACTCACTCACCCACTCACCCACCCACTCACCCACCCACTCACCCACTCACTCAGTCACTACTCACTCACTCACCCACTCACTCACCCACTCACTCACTCACCCACTCACTCAGTCACCACTCACTAACTCATTCACCCACTCACTCACCCACTCACTCACCCACTCACTCACCACTCACTCTCCCACTCACCCACTCACTCACTCACTCACCCACTCACTCACCCACTCACTCACTCACCCACTCACTCACCACTCACTCACCCACCCACCACTCACTCACCCACTCACTCACTCACCACTCACTCACCCACCCACTCACTCACTCACCCACTCACTCACCCACTCACTCACTCACCCACTCACTCACCACTCACTCACCCACCCACCACTCACTCACCCACTCACTCACTCACCCACTCACCCACCCACTCACTCACTCACCCACTCACTCACTCACCCACCACTCACTCACCACTCACCTCTCTGGCCGTGTCGAGGATCTCGAACTGAGTTTGTTCGCCGTTCACGAGTGTCGTGTGCCGATAGACCGTCTCTAGAACAACAACAACATCAACAACATCGACAACATCAACAACATCAATAATATCAACAACAACATAAACATCATAAACAACATCTACAACATCATCAACAACAACATCGACAACATCATCATCAACAACAACATCAACAACATCAACATCCACAACATCATCAATAACATCAATAACAACAACAACACCATGAACAACAACATCATCAACATCACCATGATCATCAAGAACATCATCATGATCAACAAAAAACATCACCATCAACATCGTCACCATCAACATCGTCATCATCAACATCGCCATCAACATCTTAACAATCAACATCATCAACATCACCATCAACACGTCACTATCAACATCACCATCATCATCACCATCAACAACAACATCATCATCATCAACAACAATATCACCATCAACATCGTCAACCATCAACATCACCATCAACATCGTCTTCATCAACATCGCCATCAACATCGTCACCATCATCATCGCCATCAACATCGTCACCATCATCATCGCCATCAACATCGTCACCATCATCATCATCAACATCGTCGTCATCAACATCACCATCAACATCGTCACCATCAACATCGTCACCATCAACATCATCAACATCGTCATCATCAATATCACCATCAACATCATCACCATCAACATCGTCACCATCAACATCGCCATCAACATCGTCAACATCATCATCATCATCAACATCGTCGTCATCAACATCACCATCAACTTCGTCACCATCAACATCATCAACATCGTCATCATCAATATCACCATCAACATCGTCACCATCAACATCATCAACATCGTCATCATCAACATCACCATCAACATCGTCATCAACAATATCACCATCAACATCTTCACCATCAACATCACCATCAACATCGTCACCATCAACATCGCCACCATCATCATCAACATCACCATCAACATCACCATCAACATCGTCACCATCAACATCATCAACATCGTCATCATCAACATCACCATCAACATCACCATCAACATCGTCACCATCAACATCATCAATATCGTCATCATCAATATAGCCATCAACATCGTCACCATAAATATCATCAACATCGTCATCATCAACATCACCATCAACATCGTCATCAACAATATCACCATCAACATCGTCACCATCAACATCGCCGCCATCACCATCAACATCACCATCAACATCTTCACCATCAACATCATCAACATCGTCATCATCAATATCGCCATCAACATCGTCACCATCAACATCAACATCGTCATCAACAACATCAACATCGATGATGATGGTGGTGATGATGTTGATGATGTTGATGGTAACGATGTTGATGGTGATGACGATGTTGTTGATGACGATGTTGACGGTGACGATGTTGATGGTGACGATGTTGATGGTGACGATGTTGATGATGATGATGTTGATGGTGACGATGTTGATGATGATGATGTTGACGATGTTGACGGTGACGATGTTGACGGTGACGATGTTGATGGTGATGATGGTGACGATGTTGACGGTGACGATGTTGACGATGTTGATGATGATGGTGACGATGTTGATGGTGACGATGTTGACGGTGATGATGTTGATGGTGACGATGTTGATGGTGACGATGTTGATGGTGACGATGTTGATGTTGACGATGTTGATGTTGACGATGTTGATGGTGACGATGTTGACGGTGATGATGTTGATGGTGACGATGTTGATGGTGACGATGTTGATGGTGACGATGTTGACGTTGACGATGTTGATGGTGACGATGTTTACGGTGACGATGTTGATGGTGACGACGTTGATGGTGACGATGTTGATGGTGACGATGTTGATGGTGATGGTGACGATGTTGACGATGTTGATGGTGACGATGTTGATGGTGACGATGTTGATGGTGACGATGTTGATGGTGACGATGGTGATGGTGACGATGTTGATGGTGACGATGTTGACGGTGACGATGTTGATGGTGACGATGTTGATGTTGACGATGTTGACGGTGACGATGTTGATGGTGACGATGTTGATGGTGACGATGTTGTTGGTGACGATGTTGATGTTGACGATGTTGATGGTGACGATGTTGATGGTGACGATGTTGATGGTGACGATGTTGATGGTGACGATGTTGACGGTGACGATGACGATGTTGACGATGTTGATGGTGACGATGTTGATGTTGACGATGTTGACGATGTTGATGGTGATGATATTGACGGTGACGATGTTGATGGCGACGATGTTGATTGTGACGATGTTGACGGTGACGATGTTGATTGTGACGATGTTGATGGTGACGATGACGATGTTGACGATGTTGATGGTGATGATGTTGATGTTGATGATGTTGATGGTGACGATGTTGACGGCTCTCTAACGATCCGCACGGATGGCCCTGGTCCCGGCGCGGTAACGTGGAGTCTCACCGAGTGTCGGGTCGTAGTCTCCGATGAAGCGGCCGGTGATGAAGCGGACGATCATCGCTGGGGGTGGGGAGATACAAAGACGGCCGGGGAGAGGGGTCTCTGTGTGTGTGTGTGTATGTCTGTGTGTGTGTGTCTGTGTGTGTCTGTGTGTGTGTCTGTGTGTGTCTCTGTGTGTCTGTGTGTCTGTGTGTGTGTGTCTGTGTGTGTCTGTGTGTCTGTGTGTGTCTGTGTGTCTGTGTGTGTGTCTGTGTGTGTTTGTGTCTGTGTATGTGTGTGTGTCTGTGTGTGTGTGTGTCTGTGTGTCTGTGTGTGTGTGTCTGTGTGTGTGTGTCTGTGTGTGTGTCTGTGTGTGTGTGTCTGTGTGTGTATGTGTGTGTGTCTGTGTGTGTGTCTGTGTGTGCGTGTGTGTGTGTACATGTGTGTGTGTCTGTGTGTGTGTGTGTGGGGAGCGGTAGTGTAGCGGTTAGCGCTACGCTGCGCTATGAACCTGGCGACCCGGGTTCTATTCCCGCTCACGGCCAACACCAGTGACGATTATCTGAACCGGTCCCGGGCCTCCCCTAGGTCGACTCAGCCTCAAATGAGTACCTGGTGCGGTGTGTAGTAAACATTGCCACTAGGGAGACAAAGGCGGTCGGGCGTGGTGCTGGCCACCCACCCCCTCGTGTACCGTTCCGGCCTTCATAGGTGCTCGCTAACAGCACTTGCCCCTACAGTCTGTTAAGGCTATACGGGGGATCTTTATCGTTGTGTGTGTACACGTGTGTGTGTGTACACGTGTGTGTGTGTACACGTGTGTGTGTACACGTGTGTGTGTGTACACGTGTGTGTACACTGTGTGTGTGTGTACACGTGTGTGTGTGTGTACACTGTGTGTGTACACGTGTGTGTGTACACGTGTGTGTGTGTGTGTACACGTGTGTGTGTGTGTGTGTACACGTGTGTGTGTGTGTGTACACGTGTGTGTGTGTGTGTACACGTGTGTGTGTGTGTGTACACGTGTGTGTGTGTACACGTGTGTGTGTGTGTGTGTACACGTGTGTGTGTGTGTACACTGTGTGTGTGTGTGTACACTGTGTGTGTGTGTGTACACTGTGTGTGTGTACACTGTGTGTGTGTGTGTACACTGTGTGTGTGTACACTGTGTGTGTGTGTGTACACGTGTGTGTGTATAGGTGTGTGTACAGGTGTGTATAAAGGTGTGTGTACAGGTGTGTGTGTGTAGGTGTGTGCACAGGTGTGTGTGTACAGGTGTGTGTGTGTCAACAGGTGTGTGTGTATACAGGTGTGTTAAGGCTATATGGGGATCTTTTTTGTGTCTGTCTGTGTGTGTCTGTCTGTGTGTGTGTGTCTGTCTGTGTGTGTCTGTCTGTGTGTCTGTCTGTGTGTGTCTGTCTGTGTGTGTGTCTGTGTGTCTGTGTGTGTGTGTCTGTGTGTGTCTGTGTGTGTGTCTGTGTGTGTCTGTGTGTCTGTGTGTGTGTCTGTGTGTGTCTGTGTGTGTGTCTGTGTGTCTGTGTGTGTGTCTGTGTGTGTGTCTGTGTGTGTCTGTGTGTGTGTGCACCCATCCTGGTACAGCAGTCGACCCATGGCACCTGCAGGGTCTGTCCCGTGACTTGCTGCCCGTGTGTGTCTCCCCGTGTCTCCCCGTGTCTCTCCGTGTCTCCACGCGTCTCCACGTGTCTCCACATGTCTCCCCGTGTCTCCCCGTGTCTCCCCGTGTCTCCCCGTGTGTCTCCCCGTGTCTCCCCGTGTCTCCCCGTGTGTCTCCCCGTGTCTCCACGTGTCTCCACATGTCTCCCCGTGTCTCCCCGTGTCTCCCCGTGTGTCTCCCCGTGTCTCCCCGTGTCTCCCTGTGTGTCTCCCCGTGTCTCCCCGTGTGTCTCCCCGTGTCTTCCCGTGTCTCCCCCTGTCTCTCCGTGTCTCCCCGTGTCTCCCTGTGTCTCCCCGTGTCTCCCCGTGTCTCCCCCTGTCTCCCTGTGTCTCCCCGTGTCTTCCCGTGTCTCCCCGTGTCTCCCCGTGTCTCCCCGTGTCTGCCCTGTGTCTTCCCTTGTCTCCACGTGTCCCCGCGTGTCTCCGCGTGTCTCCTCGTGTCTCCGTGTCTGCCCGTGTCTCCCGGTGTCTCTGCTTGTCTCCCGTGTCTCCCTGTGTCTCCCCGTGTCTCCCTATGTCTCCGTGTCTCCCCGTTTCTCCCCGTATCTCTCCGTGTCTTCGTGTCTCCGCGTGTCTGCCCGTATCTCCCGGTGTTTCTGCTTGTCTCCCTGTGTCTCCGCGTGTCTCCCCGTGCCTCCGTGTCTCCCCGTGTCTCCCCGTGTCTCCACGTGTCTCTCCCAGGCTCCCCGTGTCTCCCCGTGTCTCCGCGTGTCTCCCCGTGTCTCCCCGTGTCTCCCTGGCTCCCCGTGTCTCACCTTGTCTCACCGTGTCTCCGCGTGTCTCACCGTGTCTCCGCGTGTCTCACCGTGTCTCTGCGTGTCTCACCGTGTGTCACCGTGTCTCCGCGTGTCTCACCGTGTCTCTGCGTGTCTCACCGTGTCTCTGCGTGTCTCCCCGTGTCTCACCGTGTCTCCGCGTGTCTCACCGTGTCTCTGCGTGTCTCACCGTGTCTCACCGTGTCTCCGCGTGTCTCACCGTGTCTCTGCGTATCTCCCCGTGTCTCCCCGTGTCTCACCGTGTCTCTGCGTGTCTCACCTTGTCTCACCGTGTCTCCCCGTGTCTCACCGTGTCTCCCCGTGCCTCACCGTGTCTCCCCGTGTCTCCCCGTGTCTCACCGTGTCTCCGCGTGTCTCACCGTGTCTCTGCGCGTCTCACCGTGTCTCACCGTGTCTCTGCGTGTCTCACCGTGTCTCCCCGTGTCTCACCGTGTCTCCCCGTGTCTCACCGTGTCTCACCGTGTCTCTGCGTATCTCACCGTGTCTCCCCGTGTCTCCCCGTATCTCCCCGCGTCTCCCCGTGTCTCACCGTGTCTCTGCGTGTCTCACCGTGTCTCTGCGTGTCTCCCCGTGTCTCACCGTGTCTCCCCGTGTCTCACCGTGTCTCCGCGTGTCTCACCGTGTCTCTGCGTGTCTCACCGTGTCTCCCCGTGTCTCCCCGTGTCTCCGCGTGTCTCACCGTGTCTCCCCGTGTCTCCCCGTGTCTCACCGTGTCTCTGCGTGTCTCACCGTGTCTCTGCGTGTCTCACCGTGTCTCACCGTGTCTCTGCGTGTCTCACCGTGTCTCACCGTGTCTCCGCGTGTCTCACCGTGTCTCACCGTGTCTCCCCGTGTCTCACCGTGTCTCACCGTGTCTCCCCGTGTCTCACCGTGTCTCCCCGTGTCTCCCCGTGTCTCACCGTGTCTCTCTCCCCGTGTCTCCACGTGTCTCCCCGTGTCTCACCGTGTCTCACCGTGTCTCACCGTGTCTCCGCGTGTCTCCCCGTGTCTCCACGTGTCTCCCCGTGTCTCCCCGTGTCTCACCGTGTCTCCCCGTGTCTCCCCGTGTCTCACCGTGTCTCTGCGTGTCTCACCTTGTCTCACCGTGTCCCCGCGTGTCTCACCGTGTCTCCGCGTGTCTCACCGTGTCTCCCCGTGTCTCCCCGTGTCTCACCGTGTCTCCGCGTGTCTCCCCGTGTCTCCCCGTGTCTCACCGTGTCTCCCCGTGTCTCCCCGTGCCTCACCGTGTCTCCGCGTGTCTCCCCGTGTCTCCGCGTGTCTCACCGTGTCTCACCGTGTCTCCCCGTGTCTCACCGTGTCTCCCCGTGTCTCCGCGTGTCTCACCGTGTCTCACCGTGTCTCACCGTGTCTCCCCGTGTCTCTGCGTGTCTCACCGTGTCTCCGCGTGTCTCACCGTGTCTCCGCGTGTCTCACCGTGTCTCACCGTGTCTCACCGTGTCTCACCGTGTCTCCCCGTGTCTCACCGTGTCTCACCGTGTCTCCGCGTGTCTCACCGTGTCTCCCCGTGTCTCACCGTGTCTCACCGTGTCTCCCCGTGTCTCACCGTGTCTCCCCGTGTCTCCGCGTGTCTCCGCGTGTCTCACCGTGTCTCCCCGTGTCTCCCCGTGTCTCACCGTGTCTCCCCGTGTCTCCCCGTGTCTCCTCGTGTCTCCGCGTGTCTCCGCGTGTCTCACCGTGTCTCTGCGTGTCTCACCGTGTCTCACCGTGTCTCCCCGTGTCTCCCCGTGTCTCCCCGTGTCTCCGCGTGTCTCCGCGTGTCTCACCGTGTCTCACCGTGTCTCTGCGTGTCTCACCTTCTCTCACCGTGTCTCACCGTGTCTCCCCGTGTCTCACCGTGTCTCTGCGTGTCTCACCTGTCTTTCCAACGCACGCTCGACCAAGCGCCACCACGCGAACGGGTGTCCCCGTGTCTCCGTGTCTCCCCGTGTCTCCGTGTCTCTCCGTGTCTCCGTGTCTCCCCGTGTCTCCGTGTCTCCCCGTGTCTCCGCCTGTCTCCGCGACAGCTAGCCCCACTCCTCGTCGGAACGCGTTCAGAGACATGGGGACACGGAGACACGCGTGTCTCTGCCTGTCTCTCTGCTCTCCCCGTGTCTCCGTGTGTCTCCGTGTGTCTCCGTCTGTCTCTGTCTGTCTCTCTGCTCTCCCCGTGTCTCCTGGTGTCTCCGTGTGTCTCTGCCTGTCTCTCTGCTCTCCCCGTGTCTCCGTGTGTCTCCGTGTGTCTCTGCCTGTCTCTCTGCTCTCCCCGTGTATCCTGGTGTCTCCGTGTGTCTCCTTCTGTCTCTCTGCTCTCCCCGTGTCTCCTGGTGTCTCCTGGTGTCTCTGCCTGTCTCTCTGCTCTCCCCGTGTCTCAGTGTGTCTCCTGGTGTCTCCGTCTGTCTCTCTGCTCTCCCCGTGTCTCCTGGTGTCTCTGCCTGTCTCTCTGCTCTCCCCGTGTCTCAGTGTGTCTCCTGGTGTCTCTGCCTGTCTCTCTGCTCTCCCCGTGTCTCAGTGTGTCTCCTGGTGTCTCCGTCTGTCTCTCTGCTCTCCCCGTGTCTCAGTGTGTCTCCTGGTGTCTCTGCCTGTCTCTCTGCTCTCCCCGTGTCTCCGTGTCTCCTGGTGTCTCCGTGTGTCTCCGTCTGTCTCTCTGCTCTCCCCGTGTCTCCACGTGTCTCCGTGTCTCTGAGACTGGAGGAGGAGGGAGACACTAGGGGGGGCGGGGGGAGACACTGGCGGGGGGGGGGAGGGGTGGAGACACGGGTGGGGGGGGGGAGACACTGGGGGGGGGGGAGACACTGGGGGGGGAGGGGGGAGACACGGGTGGGGGAGGGGTGGAGACACGGGGGGACCGGGTAGAGTCTGAGTCTTCATAGGCGCTACTGCTGCTGCTGCTCGCTATACGAACAGCACTTGCCCCTGCAGCCCTGTTAGAGGCTACCTGGGGGTAGCTTTGTCTGTGTCTGTGTCACAGCACTTGCCCCTGCAGCCCTGTTAGAGGCTACCTGGGGGAGCTTTGTCTGTTTGTGTGTCACAGCACTTGCCCCTGCAGCTCTGCTAGAGGCTTCCTGGGGGAGCTCTGTCTGTGTGTGTGTCACAGCACTTGCCCCTGCAGCCCTGCTACAGGCTACCTGGGGGAGCTTTGTCTGTGTGTGTCACAGCACTTGCCCCTGCAGCCCTGCTACAGGCTACCTGGGGGAGCTTTGTCTGTGTGTTACAACACTTGCCCCTCCAGCCCTGTTAGAGGCTACCTGGGGGAGCTTTGTCTGTGTGTGTGTCACAGCACTTGCCCCTGCAGCCCTGCTAGAGGATACCTGGGGGACCTTTGTCTGTGTGTGTGTCACAGCACTTGCCCCTGCAGCCCTGCTAGAGGATACCTGGGGGACCTTTGTCTGTGTGTGTGTCACAGCACTTGCCCCTGCAGCCCTGCTAGAGGCTACCTAAGGGAGCTTTGTCTGTGCGTGTGTCACAGCACTTGCCCCTTCAGCCCTGCTAGAGGCTACCTGGGGGACCTTTGTCTGTGTGTGTGTCACAGCACTTTCCCCTGCAGCCCTGCTAGAGGCTACCTGGGGGAGCTTTGCCTGTGTGTGTCACAGCACTTGCCCTTGCAACCCTGCTGGAGGCTACCTGGGGGAGCTTTGTCTGTGTGTGTGTCACAGCACTTGCCCCTCCAGCTCTGCTAGAGGCTACCTGGGGGTAGCTTTGTCTGTGTCTGTGTCACAGCACTTGCCCCTGCAGCCCTGCTAGAGGCTACCTGGGGGAGCTTTGTCTGTGTGTGTGTGTCACAGCACTTGCCCCTCCAGCCCTGCTAGAGGCTACCTGGGGGTAGCTTTGTCTGTGTCTGTGTCACAGCACTTGCCCCTGCAGGCCTGCTGGAGGCTACCTGGGGGAGCTTTGTCTGTGTGTGTGTCACAGCACTTGCCCCTGCAGCTCTGCTAGAGGCTTCCTGGGGGAGCTCTGTCTGTGTGTGTGTCACAGCACTTGCCCCTGCAGCCCTGCTACAGGCTACCTGGGGGAGCTTTGTCTGTGTGTGTCACAGCACTTGCCCCTGCAGCCCTGCTACAGGCTACCTGGGGGAGCTTTGTCTGTGTGTTACAACACTTGCCCCTCCAGCCCTGCTAGAGGCTACCTGGGGGAGCTTTGTCTGTGTGTGTCACAGAACTTGCACCTGCAGCCCTGCTGGAGGCTACCTGGGGGAGCTTTGTCTGTGTGTGTGTCACAGCACTTGCCCCTGCAGCCCTGCTACAGGCTACCTGGGGGAGCTTTGTCTGTGTCACAGCACTTGCCCCTCCAGCCCTGTTAGAGGCTACCTGGGGGAGCTTTGTCTGTGTGTGTGTCACAGCATTTGCCCCTGCAGCTCTGCTAGAGGCTACCTGGGGGAGCTTTGTCTGTGTGTGTGTCACAGCACTTGCCCCTGCAGCTCTGCTAGAGGCTACCTGGGGGAGCTTTGTCTGTGTGTGTGTCACAGCACTTGCCCCTGCAGCTCTGCTAGAGGCTTCCTGGGGGAGCTCTGTCTGTGTGTGTGTCACAGCACTTGCCCCTGCAGCCCTGCTACAGGCTACCTGGGGGAGCTTTGTCTGTGTGTGTGTCACAGCACTTGCCCCTGCAGCTCTGCTAGAGGCTACCTGGGGGAGCTTTGTCTGTGTGTGTGTCACAGCACTTGCCCCTGCAGCTCTGCTAGAGGCTACCTGGGGGACCTTTGTCTGTGTGTGTGTCACAGCACTTGCCCCTGCAGCCCTGTTAGAGGCTACCTGGGGGAGCTTTGTCTGTGTGTGTGTCACAGCACTTGCCCCTGCAGGCCTGCTGGAGGCTACCTGGGGGAGCTTTGTCTGTGTGTGTGTCACAGCACTTGCCCCTGCAGCTCTGCTAGAGGCTTCCTGGGGGAGCTCTGTCTGTGTGTGTGTCACAGCACTTGCCCCTGCAGCCCTGCTACAGGCTACCTGGGGGAGCTTTGTCTGTGTGTGTGTCACAGCACTTGCACCTGCAGCTCTGCTAGAGGCTACCTGGGGGAGCTTTGTCTGTGTGTGTGTCACAGCACTTGCCCCTCCAGCCCTGCACTGCTAGCGGGCTATTCGGCGAACCGAAAAACCAGAACCGAAAACCGGAATTAACCGATATATGTTGTCGTTGATGTTGTTGATCTTCATGTTGATGTTGTTGATCTCGAAGTTGTTGATGTTGTTGATGTTGATGATGTCACGGAATCTTATACCACGCCCCCTTTCTGACCCCGCCCCCTTCATCACCCCGCCCCCTTCCTCGCCCCGCCCCCTTCCTGACCCCGCGCTCAGCGCAGCGCCAACGCTACCCACTCGCTAGCAGCGCTTGTGCCCAAATAAGGGCATAGATCTGGGGTCCCCACAGACCCCCCCCACCTCCTCACCCCCCCACCCACTCACCCCCTCACCCACTCACCATCTCACCCCCTCACCCACCTCACCAACTCACCCACTCACCCCCTCACCCACTCACCCACTCACCACCTCACCAACTCACCCACTCACCCACCTCACCCACTCACCCACTCACCCACTCACCACCTCACCCACTCACCACCTCACCCACTCACCCCCTCACCCACTCACCCCCTCACCCACTCACCCACTCACCACCTCACCCACTCACCACCTCACCCACTCACCACCTCACCCACTCACCACCTCACCCACTCACCCACTCACCCCCTCACCCACTCACCCACTCACCACCTCACCCACTCACCCCCTCACCCACTCACCCACTCACCACCTCACCCACTCACCACCTCACCCACTCACCACCTCACCCACTCACCCACTCACCATCTCACCCCCTCACCCACCTCACCAACTCACCCACTCACCACCTCACCCACTCACCCCCTCACCCACCTCACCAACTCACCCACTCACCACCTCACCCACTCACCCCCTCACCCACTCACCCCCTCACCCACTCACCCACTCACCCCCTCACCCACTCAATCCTCCACCCCCCCACCCACTCACCACCTCACCCCCTCACCCACTCACCCACTCAGCCCCTCACCCACTCACCACCTCACACACTCACCCACTCACCACCTCACCCACTCACCAACCTCACCCCCTCACCCCCTCACCCACTCACCCCCTCAGCCACTCACCCACTCACCCACCTCACCCCATTACCCCCTCACCCACCTCACCCACTCACCCGCTCACCCATTCACCCACTCACCCCCTCACCCACTCACCACCTCACCCACTCACCACCTCACCCACTCAGCCACTCAGCCACTTACCCATTCACCCCCTCACCCACTCACCCACCTTACTCACTCACCCCCTCACCCACTCACCCACCTCACCCACTCACCCATTCACCCACTCACCCCCTCACCCACTCACCACCTCACCCACTCACCACCTCACCCACTCAGCCACTCAGCCACTCACCCATTCACCCCCTCACCCACTCACCCACCTCACCCCCTCACCCACTCACCCACCTTACTCACTCACCCCCTCACCCACTCACCCACCTCACCCACTCACCCACCTCACCCACTCACCCACCTCACCCCCTAACCCACTCACCACCTCACCCTCTCACCCACTCACCACCTCACCCACTCACCCCCTCACCCACTCACCACCTCACCCCCTCACCCACTCACTACCTCACCCACTCACCCACCCTCTCGACCTCCCTCTTGATTAGAGAATTCACGCAGGGTAGAGACATCACCATCATCACCACCATCACCACCATCACCACCATCATCACCACCATCATCACCACCATCATCATCATCACCACCATCACCACCATCACCATCATCACCACCATCACCACCATCATCATCATCATCACCACCATCACCATCATCACCATCATCACCACCATCATCACCATCATCATCACCATCATCACCATCATCACCATCATCATCACCATCATCATCACCATCATCACCATCATCATCACCATCATCACCATCATCACCACCATCATCACCATCATCATCACCATCATCACCATCATCACCATCATCATCACCATCATCACCATCATCATCACCATCATCACCATCATCATCACCATCATCACCATCATC